CGCTGTAACGAGTGGAAATAAGGTATGGCCCCTTTAAGAGCTGCGCGCGCCCAACACCACACGTATACAGCGCCGGGTTATTTCTATTTGATGCTCATTTTATCAGAATTTTATCAGATCTGTTTTTTTGCCGTAAAGCAATTCGTTACCTCGCGAGACCTGATATCACACGATACTTCCTAACACTGAGGCCGGCGGCGTGCCGGCCCAAAGTTGCAAGGGTGGTTTTGCGGCTCACAGGCACCAGGGGGGTGCGAGACGACCACCATTCAACACGAAATCAGTAATATAAACATTACAATGACTCCAAAGCTGTTCGGTTAAGGTAAAAAAGTTACTTAGTTCCCCTTTAATCAACGAATCCTGAAAAAATGCATCATGGTTTCCACAAAAAAATGGTTTTCAACATTGATAATAATCAGAAATATAATATTAGAGCATATTAGAATGATTTCTGAAGGATCATGTGACACTGAAGACTGGAGGAATGATGCTGAAAATTCAGCTTTGATCACGGGAATAAATTACATTTTACAATATATTCACATAGAAACCAGTTATTTTAAATTGTAATAATATTTCACAATATTACTGTATTTTTTATCAGATAAATCCAGCTTTGGTGAGAAGAGACTTCTTACTGACCCAATCTTTTGAACAACAGTGTACATTAAAGCTCCTGTAGGTAACTTTTGAAAACATGTATTTGCTAAAACTGTCATTATGTCCTGATAGTAGAATATGAGACAGATAATCTGTGTAAAAATCAAGCTCCTCTGGCTCTTCCCAGTGGTCCTATTGCCATTTGCAAGAAATACACGCTCCCGGTCAGAAACAACCAATCAGAGCCAGGAGGAGTGTCTTAGCAGTGTCAGTCACGCTCGTGTACGCGCTGATCACACCCCTCTCTTGCACAGCGCGAGCCGTCGTTCAAACTCAAGATTGCCGGCGTGCTGCAGCTGTGCTTATGACGGAGAAACAACCTAAACTGCCAATTCTCGAGTGACACCTGCTCATAAAACAAAGAGGTAAAAGAAAAAAGGCCGATGACGATAAACAAGCGAAAAAGTAAGAATTACACAGAGCCCATTGACTCGGTGTCAAAACTCTAGCCGCATAACATGTAGATAAAATGTCACGCACTCTGCTAAGCAACAATTGAAACCTGCTAATTCACTGGCTTGTCATGTTGCTGAAATAATGTACTAGCACACCTTATCTGGCATTATATACCGTTATATTAACGTTATCTTACTAGCTATTTATAACTTATAGAAAGAGTGCAACGTTATAAAGTTACATGTAGGCTATTGGAAAATACATAATAATTTGAGGACCAAGTTTGTAGTCAAAGTATGGGCAGGCCATAGTCAATGTAAAGCATATTATTGACGTTTAGTCCCTATTAGTGAATGTGCCATATAACTTTTTATCCGCCGTCATCGGTGGCCCTGTTTACTAGCCTGCGCGTTCCCGACAGGCTCCGCTGTGGAGGACGAGCTGTGGAGGGAGGGCTGTAGCGCAGCAGAGAGCAAGGGGGTGGGACCTGGAAGTTGTGCTTGTTCAAATTTTCAGACTAAGTCAACGTTTTCTCAAAACTCCCTACTGCAGCTTTAAAGAAAATAGGGTTAAACAGTGCCAACACACCCACAATCACACACACAATCTGTCTCGAAATAAATCGTGAAAGCTAATGTAATTAAAACACATCATCACATAGTTTGTTTACACACTAACGGAAATCAATATGACTGAATAATCTCACCAGCTCCAGTGACCTGGATACAGATGCCCTTCTCCAGTTCAGCGATGCCTTTCCTGTACCACTGCACCGCCTTGTCTTTATCACCTACGACAGGTTAGACAGATTACACATCATTCTCTATCCTGTAGGGATTCGACACACACTATACTAAAACTGTCTGCAACTCTTAACCAACACGCCTGGGTTTCAGAGCAGCACTGTCAAAACTTTCAGATACACTTTACATCACAGATTTTTTGTTGTCTATATTTTGTTGGAAAGATGCTCTCGGAATAAAACAGTACGTGCTAACAGTCATGCATGGCGGCCCAGCCATTATGACCCCGGGCATGATGGGATTGAGAAACAGCTGATGAATCTATTGAACAGAGTTCTTTGTTTTCACTGATGCCGCTGGCACACAATGAGACTACAGAGTGACAAACAACATAATGTCCTGAGATATGACGAATGGAACAAATCCAGGTCACAATAAATCACATGAAAATATGTTTATACATAAAAAAAAAATTTTTTAAACATAGAATACTATATAAACTACTGTTCAAAAGTTTGGGGTTGGTAGAAGTCTCTTATTTGAGCAAAAATACAGTGCAAACAGTAATATTGTGAAATATTATTACAATTTAAAATAAGTGTTTTCTATTTTAATATATTTAAAAAAATTAAATAATTTATTCCTGGGATCAAAATGAATCTTCAGCATCAATACAGTCTTCAGTGTCACATGATCCTTCAGAAATCATTCTAATATGATGATTTGTGCTGCTTAATGTGGAACTTTTTTGATGAATAAAATTCAAAAGAAAAGCATTTATTAATAAAAGAAATGCTTTCTTAACATGATAAGTAGTTTAACTCTGTCTTCTTTGATCAACTTAATGCATCCTTGTTGAATAAAAGTATAATTTCTTTTTTTTTTATCTTAGTGACCCCAAAACTTTTTGAATGGTAGTGTATCGATTTCTGACCATAAATTATTATTTTTGTATTTAAAGAAATTTAAAACCAATGCAATATTTTACTTAGGCAGTTTATGATTGGTTGACTGTTGCTAAACAACATTGCATGGTTCAAACCACTTTTAAAATGACATGTGTAAAAAAAAAAACTGGTTAAAAGTAGGTTTAAACTATGGCTTAAGAACATTTTAACTCTGGGTTAAATCCCGGCTGGCTACTCTAGCGCGTTTACACATCAGGTCAATAGGCGAAGAGTAGGCGGCGTCCACTTGTGATCCTAATCGACCAAAACGCATCTTAATACCAGGTGTAAACAGGGCCACAGAAAAGACATGATAAGCAGATGCAATGATATCAAAATATAAGGACAGCCTTGCAAAGCTGAGCCAGTGATCATGTTCTTCACAGAGTGTCAGTACGTGGGGCCTCGTTTTCCACTCGACTGCTGATGAGGACAATCCATGTCGACCTGAATCAGGCCTCTCAACTCTACTGACCTCAGGGATCAAGCAGATCTGGGCTTGACAACACTGTGTTCTGAACCGCTCTACTGACCGCAAACACAGCTTTGGGACCGGGGTTATCATGGCTGGCGTCCAACATCTGATCTATGTCAATCTAGGTCACCTCAGTCAAGAGTCTAAACACTTCAACACTTCAAACCAATGGGTCACGAAGTGAAAGTAAAACCAACACCAGAACTACTTTACAGTGCTGGAAAACAAAAGGCAGCCTTACAAAAAGTCCCGTGGTGAAACCATGATAAAGGTATGTTATCAGATGGTATTACCACAGTGCTTATACTGTGCTTTTATACCATGGTATACACATTTTCAACTTAATTGATTTTCAGTTTCATAATATCAGGTCTACAGATAAATCGTGACTTTTGTTTGGGTCTCTAAAGAACAATAACCCCCCAAAAATTCCATACAGTGCTATAAAAAACAATGTTTATAGGTTACATAACTTACTACAATAGCAAATGAGAGCCAGGAACACCAAAACAAAGTTGAAAATACTGTGCATAAAGATAAAATGAATATAACTAAAAGATAAACACCTTATATAATGCTTATAATAGCCTAATTCATCATCATTACACATAATAATAATAACTGTAAAGTATTCATAATTCTATATCTCATGGTACACGTACAAAGTCAAACTATGTAGGCTAATTTGTAAGGGGACAGTTAACTTCACACATATGTTTTATATACACAGCATATTTACAGAAGAGTAATAAAAAACAGATACCTCTGTCATCCTCGTCGATCTGCAGAGCCAAAGAAATGAACTCAAACGCTTGTTTGTGATAGTTTCGTATCAGCTCTCCGGTCTCGTCGCATCCGTCGGAGCCGCGATCTTTGGCCGCCATGGTTCGTCGGGTCTGCCGGAGCCGGAACAGGCACAGGAGAAGCAGGAGCAGAGCCCGGAGCAGGGACAGCGGGAGCCGGGCGAGGGTTCGGATGAAGGAGCGCAGCCGGTCCAGTAGCGGACTCCGGCTGGTTCCGTCAGACACCTGTGCGCAGGTGCGTCCTCCCGCACGCGCTGATCCTCGTTGTCTCGCTCTGTCCCCAGAATTCATTCACCCTATTCGGGCTCTCCATACCATAATGGGCCGGTTGTTTAACAACGAGGAGTTTTATTTCTCTGCGATGTCGGTTCTCCGGTTTGTTTTGGCCAGCATCGATCGCGGAAGTCACTGTTGTGTGTACGGTCTCGCGCTAATGACGTGAACCACATCGCGTCGCTGACATTGGGCGACAAATGTTATAAAAAATATAATAAAATGAAACGGTCTGGCTCCAGACCATTTTTTTTATACATAACCTTAAGCAGTTACTAAAAAATAATGCTTTTTTAAAGCTATGAATGAAGTGAAGCAGCATTTCCTCTCTTTGTTTTATTTTGTTTTATTATACTCTGACATCTTTTTATTTTTTAATGTAATTTTTGTATAATTTTGGAGACATTTGTACAACGTAAATTATCCATATCTATAATAAGTATCCATATTCATTATCCATATCTTGTAATAATGAGACTGTAACTGGAAGGTCTAGAATAGTAACATATGTCACGTGACCACACCGTTAAGGTTTGACTTCAGCAGCGTCTAGGAAATGTTTTACACCCCAATAATATAAGTGAATATCAATAACTGAGAAACACTGTACACAATTAACTACACAGACAATAATTTCAACCAATCGTACCTGACCAATCAGGGGCAAAGTCTGGCCGACAAGCCCCGCCCGGTTTAGAACCTACTCTAGCGTCATTCAAGCGTGTGTTTTGCGCATGCGCAACGCCAACAGCGTAGATTAGAAACCAACAACAAACTATGGCGGACGGTAAGTGGTGTTTCTGAGCTTTGTGGTTTATTTTACACTCAGGAATTGTGCGGTGATTATATTTTTAGACATCTTCAATGTAAGCATACTGTAGGGAGAGTTGTAGTTCTTGGCAAACGGTTGATTGTTTATTATTGGTAGCGTTGTGCTGAGGCGGCTCATTGAATCCCGCCATTCACTACAGTATTTGACTTTACATCAACATATGCACTAGTCGCATGTATTGTAGTACTGTGCATGAGTTCTTAAACTTGTTAATAACAATTTTATTTTGATTCTAACAGAACACACTGATGCTGAGCAAAGCATGGAGGGACACACTGCTGTGAGTATCACTGCACAATTTCATTTCATCCGAGTGGAGCACTTTGTCACTTTTTCTTGATCAATCAATCAATGAATGTTTATTTATAGAGCACATTTAAACACAACCGAGGTTGACAAAAGTGCTGAACAATGATTCAAAGAATCACAATAAAATAAAAGGGAATAAGATAGAGGAATAAAAACAAAATAGACAATAAGCAAAACACAAGATGTTTCTTGTTTATGTTAGGTCCCAGAAAATCCTCATGCAGAATATGGGCTCACTGAAAACATCCAGGTACAACATCAGTACTTAAATTTGAGGAAGTTGAATTTATATTAAGAATCTTTTTTGATAAACCGTTCCGAATTGGTTGCAATGTGAATAAAGCATTAGCTCTATGATTGTAGTATAACGGCTAGGCTTCTGTGTGTTCCTCTAGAGAATAGTGGAGAATGAGAAAACAACCTCTGAAAAAGTCACCAAACAGAAGGTGGACCCTCAGACCCTGCAGACGCTTCCTACACGAGCGTATCTGGATCAGACGGTGGTTCCTATTCTCCTGCAGGGCTTGTCGGTTCTGGCCAAGGAAAGGTCTGTATCAATGCACCATTTTTCCAAATGTAAAAAAATTCATGTCATTGTATGGATCACGATTGCCCGAAACCAGTGTATCTCAACCATTTTGACTTTAACTTTCCGTGTTTTAAAGTTTAAACACTTATTGAGTGATTACATGAGACATGATACAGTTTGGTAAGTTGTACTGTATCTTTCAGCTATCTTCTGATGTTCATGCATGTTTTTTCTTCTTGCTATAATTTGTGTTAAAGTGGAAGAAAAGACTCTACAGATCTGTCACGTCACATTTAAGAGCGTCGAAACGCCATTTATTGTTTGAATTTCGTGATAAAATGGACAGAATATGAAAGCTGAGACTTTGTTTCTTATCCGAAGTGACAGAGCACAAAGCTCTTTGAGATTATTGAATGGGAGGCGTTACAAATAATGATCCGTGTGGGAAAAAACGCAGACTTGACAATCCTGGCTTCAACAATCCTGGCTTCAACTACGGGTGATTCACAGGGTCAAATAGAGTCTGCTTTAACGTCACCATTTTAAACTGTCAATGCGTTACTGTAACTTTGAAAGCCCTAAATTCAACACGAGAGATTTTCTTCATACACAGTATTTAGGCCGTGAGACAGAGGGTTGATTGGTACCATTTTGAGGGATTAAACCGCATGGTGATTTTTGTGTAGGTATATGACCCTGTATTTAAAAAATGTGTGATAGCATTAGATTCAAGGTAGTTTTTGGTTACGGAGGACGATTTTCAAACATATGTCAAGAAAAAGGATAAATTAATTTATCTTTAAATACATTTTAAATTTTATAAAAAAATTATAAAATTTTATACATTTTTATAATAAAAAAAATTATAATTTTTTTAAATAAATTTTTTAAATTATAAAAGGATAATTTTTTCTCTCTTGTAGTCACTGAACACCTTACCTTGAGGTAGGATGATATAAGTGTTGATTTCTAATAAAAGCTACCATGGATCGGATGCTATCACATTTTCCAACACTAGAGATGTGTACCTTCATGACAATCAAAAAGAAATTTAATCCCTCAAAATGGTACCGGTAGCCCAATTTTGGGGTCCCGTCTCATGGCCTATATGACTTGCAGTTTGACTAGTTTTGTTGACTTTTTAATTAACAAGATAAAATCGTCCGATAGTGAAAATAATTGCTTTTATCGGCCGATACCGATTATTGGCCAATATATATTGGTGCATCCCTAATTTTAAGTCATCTTGAGGTCCCCTGTTGTTTGAAAGGCACTAAAAATATATATATATATATATATAAGGAAAATAACAAAGGTGTGTCTCCCATCAGTGTTTGATATCTCTAAATTTAGCCCTCGCACACTGTGACTGAATATATAATGAAATAATATGAATGCTACATGAATATACAAGAATCGCAATATAATATATATAATCGCAATTAAATTTCCTTACTTGTATAAATTAAGAACATGCATCTAATCTCACTGTCCATCTTCCTTCAGGCCTCCAAATCCCATCGAGTTTTTAGCGGCATTCTTACTGAAGAACAAGTCCCAGTTTGAGGAACGTAATTAAAGGCACGGCGTGCTGCGGAAGACTTAGGTTATTATTTTTTTTGTGTGTGTTGTGAATGTAAATGTAATGGTGTCACGCTCTTCAGATTGTTTGTTTCCCGATGTTACTGTAGTTTTTTAAACTAATAAAATGTTCAAGCAGTGATGTACGTTTCAATGGTGGGGTTTTTCTTTGTTTGAGAATTGACGACTTTTTTTTTTACAACACTAAATTTTACATTTACATACAAACTGTGTTAGACATGTGGCCTGTCATATACAAAAATCCAGCTCGGCTTCATTCCCCTTTTATTTGCTTGATATTTTATTACACGACACCAAGCACTGTGCATGACAATAACAGACAAAAACTAGTGAGGGAAACAATTTCATTTAACTGTGAACATACAAAAACAATTCAAATTTGAATCAGTAGTAAATATAATTTCCTCCTCCTGTATAAAGATTAGACACTCTCAGCATATGCAAAACAAAAACATGCCCTAAAGCACTCACAGCAGATCTGTTTCTCAGCAGCCGAAATCACCATGGCCATTAAAGCTCTCCGTTTTCATAAAGCAGAATATGAAACATAAGTTTGTTTCATTCAGTTAACAGCTGATAAAAAAGGAATTCAGATCTATTAAACTGAGAGCGGATCATTTTACAGCAAATGACTCTCAGCACAATATGCAACCAACATATTTTCAATTAGTTTCAGAAAATTTAGACTAATATTAAGTGATCATAGATTACATTGTGATGTGAAACTGAAAATGCTGGGAAAAATTGACCTGAAACTCGATAAACTAGAGTGAAATAATTCCGTTTCTGCTTTCTGTCTCGGTAACGTAGTGCAGCTTCAGTGCACTAGTTCGCATGCACAATTTCGATGGCACAGAAAAACAACAAACCAAGGCACCAACAACTTCTATGAGCTGGTATAGCTGGTTTGGGTCTAGAAGAAAACCTCGATATAAACGAGAGCGGCGAGGCTCACGTTTCCAGTGTACTTCTTTCAATGCCTGTGACGTTGTCTGCGAGAGTTTCTAGATTAATGTAAACCAAAGACTTGATCAGATTCGTAAACTGATACCAACTAATGTGCGTTTCATGTATATAACCAAAAAATAAAAATAAAAAAAGTTTCATTATGACCAAGATTTTGCTATTTTGTTTCATGGACTAGGGCTGGGTGATACAGCTTATGAAATAATATCATATAAATCATACATTTTATAATATGAGATTATTGACATTATTCCGTTTATATATTGACATTTATTTATTTCGGTAGCACTTTAGAATAAGGTTCCAACATTATTTAACACTTCTAAAGCATTTATTAATATTAGTGTTAATGTCAATTGCATCATATACTAATATATTATTAATATTAAAAGTTGTATCTGTTGATATTATTTGAGTGACCTGAGCTAACAAAGAACAGTTTTTATTCAACGTTAACTAAGATTAATAAATGCTGTAAAAAATGTATGGCTCATTTTTAATGTTATTAAATGTACTGTATTAACTAATGTCAACTATTGTAAAGTGTTACCATTTATAATATAATGGCAGTAAAAGATATTTGTGTTCTTAAATTATATATATATATATATATATATATATATATATAATTTAAGAACACAAATATGTTTTACTGCCATTTTTGCTACTGAAGTAAATGTGAGACACTATTAAAACATCTCTGCATTGAAACAAATGTGCGTTTCATGTATATAACCAAAAAAAAAAAAAAAAAAAGTTTAATTATGACCTAGATTTTGCTATTTTGTTTCATGGACTAGGGCTGGGTGATACAGCTTATGAAATAATATCATATAAATCATACATTTTAATATTTATAATATGAGATTATTGACATTATTCCGTTTATATATTGACATTTATTTATTTCGGTAGCACTTTAGAATAAGGTTCCAACATTATTTAACATATTTAACAACACTTCTAAAGCATTTATTAATATTAGTGTTAATGTCAATTGCATCATATACTAATATATTATTAATATTAAAAGTTGTATCTGTTGATATTATTTAAATGACCTGAGCTAACAAAGAACAGTTTTTTTTCAACGTTAACTAAGATTAAAAAATGCTGTAACAAATGTATGGCTCATTTTTAATGTTATTAAATGTACTGTATTAACTAATGTCAACTATTGTAAAGTGTTACCATTTATAATATAATGGCAGTAAAAGATATTTGTGTTCTTAAATTATATATTCCATAACGCAGAATGCACAAATATGTTTTACTGCCATTTTTGCTACTGAAGTAAATGTGAGACACTATTAAAACATCTCTGCATTGAAACTTTCATTCGTAGGACTTGTAATTTCACTAAAATTGATCAAAAACATTCTACAAACGGTTTGGTCTGGTTTTGTTTATATTAAAAAGTTATATTGATGTTTTTTGGCTACTTAAAGAGAACCTTCGCTCTTAACGTTTTATTTTGGTTGTATAAAGCATTTGTCTTTGTGAATTCAAATGTAACTTCTTTAGCAACCCAAAAATGTTATCTATTATGTTTAATTTGAGGTGTTTTCTAGAACGCTGTAATGCAACAGTCAAATGTTATTGTAAATGGCAAATAAGAAGCACGTTATAAAACAATCACAATGTTGTTTACGTTTATATCACCACCAAAATTATTGTAAATATTATATATACACTGTATATATCACCTAGCCCTATCTACGACCAACAAATACGCTGATCCAGGATCACATCCTACTTGCCGAGATCATGATAAATCTGCGTTATGGAACTTTTTAACCTGCCATAACGTTAGTGGTTGTAGAAATGAAAGTATGCAGGAAAAACTCTATTTGTGTCATTAGTTTATTATGCTGTAACCGAACAGCTGCACGTGTGCCACATACACAGGCTTCTGTCTTAGGGGTGAATCTAGCTGCAATTGGTTCTTCTCTTTATAATATACGATGAAAAAGACACCCGTCTGGATGCTGGTCACACTCCTAAGTCATTTATCTTGTCAGTAAGTACAAAAAAATTAGTAAAACTACAGTAAATGCCAAAGAGCTAATGTGTAGCTGCTCAATAAAAAACTAAATGCCAATGCAAAGATGCATGACAACTCAAAACTGATATCGGTTGGCTTGTTTTGAAGCATTTCACACGTTCACTCACTCACCGAGAGCGTCTCGGAAATATCAGAAACCGGCTCAGGATTATAAGAACTAAAAACAGGTGAATCCCGTTGAAACATAACGACTGAAGGGCGCTTATAAAGTCCTTCACGTATCAGTGGGTTTCTGTCAGATGTAGTACTGGTGGGCGGCCAGGCTGTCCATGAAGGGGCGGACCAGATTGTCCGTGGAGAAGTAGAAGACCAGGCCGAAGGTGATGGAGATGGGAAGAGCCGGGAGAGCCTTCTTGAAAATGGCCAGCAGGAGGAGCGTCAGGCACAGTCCCTACAAAACAACCACAGCAACTTTCTCAAGTTATCTGATGCTCCAGATTCACCCAAATTAAACTCTTAGGCTCTGTCCCAAACCTAGTGAGCCGTCTAAATCACTAGATCTAGTGCCCTACTAAGGCATCATGCCCTGGTATGGACATTCAACACAGGCAGCGACTCCAAATGTTTGATGGGAACATGTTGTATAGATAACAATATGCACTCAATACATAGCACACACACACAAAGAATGTGTATGACAGTCAATATTTAATTAGATTACACTTTTTTATCAATACTTTAAGTACTGATTAAATTATAAATATTAAAAAGAAATTATAATATAATTGGTGCTGTGAAATCGATTAATCGTGATTAAATCGCATCTAACATAAAAGTTGGTAAATATATAATATATGCGTGTGTGTGTGTATATATATATTAGTGCTGTCAATTGATTAAATAAATTAACTAATTAATCACACATTTTTCTGTAATTAATCATGATTAATCGCACCTAACATTAAAGTTTTGAATATATTCTTTGACATTGAATCTCCACAATAATGTAGAAACAACATAAAGACAGTATATTTAAAATATTTGTTTAACCCCTTAACTGTCACCCCCCTTTTTGAGCGTTGACGTGAAAATGCACTACCCAAACTTAAACGGTTCTAATTCATGAACCCTTTGGAATAAAGACTTACGGTTGGTCTCTTTTAAAAGAAAACACTTGGCAGATTATTGCTGAAGTGGAATAAATTAATATAATGAAATTATATAAAAGTTATTGAAGTTTAAGTTTATTGTTATGAAAATAGAATAATTTTTTTTTTTTTTTTTTATTAAAAATATATATAAATTAATATAGGCCTAAAAATGACAAAGTCAAAGCCATATATCTAACCAAGTCGTGTTCCAAATTTGAAGTTGATATCACAAACATTGAAGTTCCCATGAGATTTTGTTTAGGCGTAATACCAAAAATAGCCACCGGGTGACATTGAATTCCATTGAATTTAATTGTGTGCATTCTGCCATAACATATTAATAAATTTCTGTCCAAATGTCACTTCTGTCACAAAATATGGAACCTTGAGACTCAGACCTTTCTGACAATGTGTTTTGTCATGATTAGAAAAGATTTTGATCATAAATGATGAAACATGATGATGCCAAAAAGGGGCGGAGCCTGATAAAATAATTTAGAGTACCGTTTCTATGGTAACGCAACAATATCAATTTCAACAGTTTTCACAGGATGAATTCTGAGTTCGCAAGCTTTCAAATGATACCTAATTTATGATAACTACTACAATATGTGATGTAATAAAAAAAGGTGATAAAAAATATTATAGTATATTTTAGAGGATAATATATATATAATATACTTTTTAGAGGATAATATTATTTTATATTTTTTTATTGACAAATACAAGATTATATATGTTTTATTGTGAACTTTTACCATGCAAATCAAAGTTTGAATGATTAAAAGTGTGGTTGTTGACTTTTTGTTACAAAGGTGAAAACACCGATTTTTTTGATGCGCACTCTTGAAAAATATTGAAGTAAACTTAAATATCCCGCTAGCGGGATATTTTTACTAAGCACTATGAATGAAGGCCTGTATCACTGATACTGATGTCTCTAATAAATTGATTTTTCCCCCTCAATTTAATACCATACTACACTAAAGTTCAAAAGATGTTTTTCTTTGAGAGAAATAAAAACTTTTATTCAGCCAGGATGCTTTAAATTGGTCACAAGTGACAGTAAAGACATTTATAATTTCTATTTCAACTAATATCTGTTCTTTTTAACTTTCTATCCATTAAACAATCTAGAATTATTTTTACTATGGTTTCCACAAAAATATTAAGCATCAAATCATCATATTAGCATGATTTCTGAAGGATCATGTGACACTGAAGACTGGAGTAATGATGTTGAAAATTCATCTTTGATCGCGGGAAGAAATTACATTTTGAAAATATATTCAAATTGAAAACACTTACTTTAAATAGCAATATTCCACAATATTACTGTTTTTACTATATTTTTTACCAAACCAATGCAGACTTGAGACTTTAAAAACATTTTAAAAATCGTATCGATCCCAAACGTTAGAACAGTAGTGAACGTTAGTTGTGAAATACTCACGATGAGAATGGCCACGAAACAGGCCAGTGTGGTGTTCCAGTCTCCTCCGGTGGCCGCCGCCTTTCCCACCAGGACACTGTAGAAGATGAAGTCTCCGAGACCCAGCTTTATCCCTCCTGTGTCAAAGTCAACCAACAGGCGTTAGAAAGAATAATTGCTAAACCTGTTTGTAAAGCATTTTTTAACTAGTTCACCTCACTAGTGTGTGAGTCATTAGTAATTCAGTACATATGAGCCCTATTTACATGTTTTGTAACCAAGAATATGATCTGTATGACACTGTTGACGTAGAAAGCACTTACGGTCTTCCTCGAGGTCCTCTTCTGCCGAATACCTCCGGCTCCCTCCCTGAACCACATCGTCCTCTGACTCCACCCCTTCCTGCGCCCTGGCTCCGCCCTCGCCACGCTGCCTTTCATCAGCTGGGAAGACAACCACCACTTATTCACCATTATCTCTAGGTTACAAGGTATTATATCTACTTTCTACACAAAGTCTTTTAAAACGTACTAAAATACTAGTAAAGTGCTTGTAAAGAACTAAAATGCTGCTCACCTGGATTACCAGCATCAGCCATTCCAACCATCCAAACCATGGCAGCTGAGGGAGAGAAACTTTTATTAGTGCATGACCCATCTTGACCGGACTTAAATTGAGCACACATGTGGGAATAGAAACTGGCTTAAATTTCAGACTGTCCCATCTGCTCTGAGTCTCAAAGCTGGGATCATTTCTATAGGACATACATGAATAGATGAGCGCAGGGAAAATTGGCTCGTTTCTTTCTTGAGCGGTCTCAACCAGCATCCTCAGCGGGCCTTTCGGACACAGCACCGCTATCAGATCTGGAAAAGCAAACACACGCTATTACTGATACTGTCATGTGCGCCAATCACACAGATATGAGCATTTTCAGTGATTAAAAGTCAAGTTTGCGATTTTGTGTCACTATTGTGGCGTTTTGTTTATTACAGAAATTATGCTCTGTACCTTTAAGAACTAAAATTTTAACATTAAAAAAATTAAAGGAATAGTCCACCCAAAAACGAAAATTCTGTCATAATTTATGCACCCTCGTGTCATTCCAAACCTGTATGCATTTCTTTCTCCTGCAGACCGTAAAAATATATATTTTGTTTGAATAATGTTGATTGTCGCATGGTTTAAGTTCCCATTGACTTCCATTGGATGGACAAGATACAATGGAAGTCAATGGGAACCAAAATTATCCCAATTCTTCAAAATATTCTTTCATGTTCCACAGACGAAAAAAGTAATACTGGTTAGGAACGAAATGACATGGGTGAACTATCCCTTTAAAGAAATAATATTATATCACAGTATGAGACGGAGAAGTTGAAGAACAAATGTAGAAGCAAATGGTTCGAGGGCTGTCAATCAATCTTCAGGCAAACGTACCATATATGGAGATGGCTCCCAGAATGACCCATGCCGACCATTCGGGCAGGTATTTGATGAAGATGAGAGCCATGAGGGCGCTGATGACGATGAGGTACGCCTGCTGGAGCCGTAACGGCCCTTTCCAGTGGATGCAGATCATTCCCACAACGCCAAAGTTCCAGATGATCATCACTAACGTTGGGTAGTCCATGGCGACATTATATGTTTTGAACACCTCTCTGAAAAGCAAAGGGATTGGCGAAAGTATTACACATTTAAATCAATTCGAACCAAACTATTGATTTTCTACTTCTTCCTTATTTTTCTGCCCTAAAAGTGATTGGGCGTCTCAGAGACTGTAAGTCGTAAAAGACCCCAAAATTGGCAGGATGGTCCGAATCGTGCACCGCTACTCAGGAGCACAGACACATGCCCATCCGACACTAGGTGGCGCTATAATAAGGCAATTTGCATTTTGGATCAGAACTAGCTAGAAACAAAAATCCCCCCAGGATCATTGAGTCAAGCCCTACAAAATATCCGCCATTTTGAATTTTTTGAAAAACCTACTTTTTTTAACTTCTCCTAATAGTTAGGGGCCTTAAAGGGCATATTGCAGGTTAGAGGACCCAACGAGTCAATGTATAGAAAAAGAATGTAGGAACTAGATTTTCTTTAAAATATACTTATAAATACGCTACAGAAGCTTCTGGAGTCGTTTTTGTGAGAAAATTTTACTTCCGCGTCTGAAAATGGGCGTGGCAGGCGTGACATAACGGGCGGGAGAGCGGTTGATTCAAACAACAGGAAAACAATGGATCGCAATGACATTTCGGACGCTGAGGAAGTACTTACTCGTATGACGGACGACAGCCATACAATTATGAGCCTGCTATGCTGCCAAGAGAGCAGGACAGGCCAGGACTAACGGTCAGACAGAACGGTCAGAGACACCATGAGTTGTGGTGTGAGAACCAGTGGAGAACAGGACAGGTGTCTTGGTGAGAGACGTGCTTATAGATATACACGTTCGCTAACGATATACACTGTGCTCACAATATTGTACAGATTATTACCATCGTATATCAGGCCAGCAGACATTCGTATTTTTAGGGTAGATTTATACTATTAAATGTATAAAAACTATACTTGAGTATATTTCTATTGTACTAAAAACATACCCAAGTACATTTTTAATACATATTTTTCACCTGGGTTATAACATAAATAGAAAATTAAAGATTTGAATATTTAAACAACCTGAGTAATTTTGTTTTTCAATTACAAGTTGCCTTAGGGCATGACTACCTATATCACACTATTTCATGCCATTGGTACAGTATACGACGATCAATATTTTTGCTTCGGCATCCCATTTTGAACTCCATCATATCTCCGGGATGATAATCCTCCGATCTGAAGTGAACGCTACACACACGACCGCGTTTCTCGAAGCCGATGCGGAAGAGAAATCCCGTCTCTTCACCTGCACAAACCGCACCAGGCACGAAAGATATACAACAACACCGTCCCTTTTCTTGTTATGGAAACCTGTGGACTCGATGTCCTGACAGGCCGGAGTTTTTGCAACCTCCACAAACAATAATTTACCATGACGATGATAAATTAAAATACAAAAACTACCGAAAACACACTGACACACGGCCGCTCTCACTGAATACCAGTCTACTCTGCACTGAGCCGAGGCTGAGGCTCCCTAGCGTGACGTAAAATGACGCGATTTTGAAAAAAATGCCGTTTTTACGAGCAGTCCAAGAAACACTCACTTTATCTACTAAATTAGTGCCCTTATGTCGTTTTAAAACATTTTAAATCCTGCATTAACTTTTCATATGGTATTTTCATACAAGGTTATATATTAATTTAGATTTTTTTTTTTACCTGCAATATGCTCTTTAAGCACATTTTCGCGCAAATTCATCTAAAAGCGCCAAATTTGGCACAGATGTAGCTCAGGTTATACCGAAATGATTTAGCTAGGGTGACCCTCGGGGCCAAGATGGCCGCCAAATCCAATATGGCCGCTGCCCGAAAAGGGTTCCGGCTATAACTTTTGAACCACATGAGTTACAAATACAAACTTGATATGTTTTTCAGCTTAATTGATCATGGGAAACACAAAGGAATGTTTAAAGTTATGACCCAGTATATATGGACCCCTTGATCCTCCAATTCCAATATGGCCACTGTCCAAAAAAGCAGTTTGGACTTTAGTATGGGGCCTTACACCCCATTGTTAGTGCAAATTCATCTAAAAGCACCAAATTTGGCAAAGATGTAGCTGAGGGCATACTGAAATGATTTAGCCAGGGCGCCAAAGCCAATGGTCCCTGAGACCAAGATGGCCACCAAATCCAATATTCAAAAGTTATAGCCGGAACCCTTTTCGGGCAGCGGCCATATTGGATTTGGCGGCCATCTTGGCCCCGAGGGTCGCTGGCTCCGGCGCCCTAGCTAAATCAGTTCAGTATGACCTGACCTACATCTGTGCCAAATTTGGCGCTTTTAGATGAATTTGCGCGAAATGACCTAACCCTAAGGCCCCCAACTATAAGCTGTTTGTCCGTTCTGCTCCAAAATAGGCATACAGCAGCTAGGGACAGTGCTAGTAAAAAGTTTATTAAAGTTAGCAAAGTTTTCAAAATAATTTTGATTCATCTCTAAGCAGAGTTAAAAGGTAATTAATTAGTCAGGCAACCTACATTTTTACAAGTTGACCTATAGCGGCTGAACACAATGTCCAAACGTAACGAAACTTGACACACAAAGACAACAGGACTTTCTGAGGATGCAAAAAAATCCGCCAATAGGGGGCGCTACAACTAAAAAAAAAACATTATAAAGCCGCAACCGTATGATCAATGTCGCTGAAAATTGGTATGCATCTTCTTTGGTGGGCGTCCTAACATATCTTCTAATATCAGTGCATTCACAGCATGTCGTAATTACCGTAACGATTCTGAACTGTAAAAAGCCTTCACGTGCTTGTTATTACAACGTGTAAACTCATAATTATCTGAGACCTACGACTTGTACCATAGCTTTATTTACGGTAATTAAAACATGGCGTGAATGACTCGGATACTTAAAAAATCATGGCCAGCAGCCAATCAAATTTCAGCGGGTAATGCTTTATTAATCGAAAAAGCAGCAAAAAAACGTGACCATGATTAATCTAAAATCCCTATCGAAAGGCTAAAAATATAGATATAATTTTGTTCAGCTATATTGCCAAACACCGACACATCCTGCTGTATGAGATAGGTTACATACAGTAGCAATATGATAAGAAAGCAGAATCTCACCCCAGATACATGAAGCTGAACCAGAAGAGCAACATCAGTGAAGACAGAATCAGCCAGCCTTGAATAAACTGCACACACAGAGAAAATAAACACCTCTCTGAAGATACAACAGTTTTTAGTGCTACAGTCTCATGAAGTCACAAGCAAAAGCACAGAACTTCATAGTGTTATAGAGTTTCAGTAATAAAGAGGATCTCACTTTATAGCAGCGATACTTGTAGAGCACCACCAGTATTATCGTCATGAAGACAATGACACTGATCATGACGATGGTGTTGAGGAACGAGTTCAGGAGCCTCTGACCTACAGAGTTCGGATCCTCTTCGAACGGAGTGTAGATGCTGCAAAACACGACTTTCCTTCATAAAATTCTGCTTCATTTTAAAGGATTCATTCAAAAATGAAAAATCTGTCCTTTATTCATCCTTAAATCTGTCACTTTTTTTGTGACGCATCGCATCCTGCTGTAAGACATCCGTTACATGATAACAATATGAGAAGAACATCAATATTATATACCGTATTATAATATATATTTAATAAAAAAAGAAAGCATTAATAAAAGACAAAATAATTTTTTAAAAATTCACTTTTTTAAATTACTTTTCATTTTATAATGAACAAAATATCAGTAAAATATCGGTATACGCCAATAATAGCATTTCTTTCAAATTACTTTTATACGTATCTGCCTAAATCATAACCCTAACCCTAATATTGGATGCAGATATTTTTTCAGTGGCTAAGATCACTAAGGTCACTAAATCGTTAAGTTTTGCACGGTTTTTAATGCTCACCAATAGTTATTTTAATATTTTTAATTATTAGATATTATAATATAATTGAAATATTTCAAAAAAAAAGGGGGAAAAAAGGAAAATATTAAAAAAGAGGGAATATTCATGTTGAAATCTATTTTTGAATACATTTTTATATATATATATATATATTTAAAACACTTTCAAAAATTGTAAAAAGAGGAAATATTACTTTGTGTTTAATTTTTTCTCTATTTTAAATATTTTAAAAAGAATTACTTAAACAAAAAAAGTTTTATAAATAAAAAAAAAGAGAAAAAAATCCAGTTCCATGGAAAAATAGCAGCATACAGGTCTAGAACATGAGGGTGAATATACAGTATTTTCATTTTTGCTGAACTTTAAAGTAACAAAACCCGTACAGCCGCTGTCCGCTCTTCTCCGTGTAGAAACTGACGGACTTGATTGTTGCCACGACGACCACCATGCAGAGCGTGACGGGGATGAAGAGCATGATGACATGCTTAGCGCCATATTTAAGGGTCAGCTCCTCTTCCTCTCCATCAGGAGTGGCCACTCTCTCTCTCTCCACTGGCACTGGCACGGGCTCGTCCAAGCCTGAGCTGACCGGCCGCCGCTGCGGAAACATTAAGAGAAAAATGGGATTTGTTGATGCAGATATATACACATTTGGTACACTATAACAAAGTCCACTAAATTGCACTCGCCATGAGCATAATCATGCAAATATCTAGTTCAGTCATGAAACTCAAGAGGGCGCAGTCCTTTACATGCAACCTGCAAGTAGGGCTAGGCGATATGGCAAAAATATCATATCACGATTTTTTTGCATGTTGGTTTTACTATTTTGCAAGTGACTGAGTTTTAGAGTCAAACCTCTTTCAAAAACAAAGCCTTATAAGGTAACAAAATATTAAATAATAAGAATTAAATTAGAAGATAAGAACAAAGATACACATTACATATACACAAATATACAAATGAAATAAACAGTGCTTTATTTTTTCAGCTACAGTAGGTATATTTAACAGAAGCATTCAAGAAAGAAAAAAAAAAAATGAACAAATATATAAAAATAAAACACTTCATAGACTTTACTGTATAAATTATACATTGATACTTATTAAAGCTACTATTAAAGTTCTCAGAGCAGTGAGGGATTTTCTTTTTTTTTCTTTTTTTTTCTTAACATTAAAGGGATAGTTCCCCCAAAAATGTACGTCGCATTGTACAGTTTGTTGGGAGGGAGGAGCCAGAACAGGGACACCGGCACAGACACGGACACACCGGCACAGACACCAGCATGGACAAGGACACCGGCACGGAAACCGGCATGGCACTGGCAAAGACAGGGACACACCGACACGGACACCAGCATGGACACGGAAACGCAAGGCAACGGCATGGAGATGGACACATCGGCACAGGCACACCGGCACGGACACCAGCACGGACACACCGGTGCAGACACGGACACCGATACTGGCATGGACACCAGCACGGATACCGGCACGGACACTGGCACCGGCACCTAGACGGACACACCGGTAGGGGCACCGGCACGGACACATTGCTACACACATGGCACGGAAACTGGCACGGACACCGACACGAGCAACTACACGGACACACCGGAACGGACACTAGCACCGGCACGGACACACAGGCAACTACACGGACACACAGGTACGGACACTGGCACCGGCACGGACACACCGGCACCTACACGGACACACCGGTACGGACACCGGCACGGACACACTGGCACATACACGGACACACCGGTACAGACACCGGCACCAGCACAGACACCAGCATTGACACGGACACCGGCAAGGCACCTTCATGGACACGGACACACCGGCACGGGCACACCGGCACAGACACAGGCAAGGCACCGACATGGAACACGGACACACCGGCACGGACACCAGCAAGGCACCGACATGGACACAGACACACTGGCACATACACAGGCACGGACACCGCATGGCACACCGGCACGGAGACACGTACAACGGTACTGGCACAGGCAACGGCACGAACACATCGGCACGGACACTGGCACGGACACACCGGCACGGGCACACCAGACAACGGTACTGGCACAGACACCGGCAACGGCACGGACACACCGGCAGGGGCACGGATACACCGGCAAGGCACCGACATGGACACAGACACACTGGCACGGACACAGGCACGGACACCGGCACGGGCACACCGGCACGGAGATACGGACACCGGTACTGGCACAGACACCGGCAACGGCACGAACACATCGGCACAGACACTGGCACGGACACACCGGCACGGGCACACCGGACAACAGTGATGGCACAGACACCGGCACGGACACACGGGCACGGACACACCGGCATGGACACCGGCATGCACACACGGCAAGGACACCGGCACAACGGCACGGACACCGGCACAACAGCACGGACACACCGGCACAGACACTGACACACAGGCACAGACACGGACACACCGGCACAGACACACAGGCACGGACACGGACACACCGGCACAGACACACAGACACGGACACGGACACCGGCACAACAGCACGGACACACCGGCACAGACACGGACACACCGGCACAGACACACAGGCACGGACACGGACACACCGGCACAGACACACAGGCACGGACACACCGGCACAGACACACAGGCACGGACACACCGGCACAACAGCACGGACACTGACACTCAGGCACAGATACGGACACACCGGCACAGACACACAGGCACGGACACGGACACACCGGCACAGACACACAGGCACGGACACGGACACACCGGCACAGACACACAGGCACGGACACGGACACACCGGCACAGACACACAGACACGGACACGGACACCGGCACAACAGCACGGACACACCGGCACAGACCGGCACGGACACCAGCAAGGCACCGACATGGACACAGACACACTGGCACATACACAGGCACGGACACCGCATGGCACACCGGCACGGAGACACGTACAACGGTACTGGCACAGGCAACGGCACGAACACATCGGCACGGACACTGGCACGGACACACCGGCACGGGCACACCAGACAACGGTACTGGCACAGACACCGGCAACGGCACGGACACACCGGCAGGGGCACGGATACACCGGCAAGGCACCGACATGGACACAGACACACTGGCACGGACACAGGCACGGACACCGGCACGGGCACACCGGCACGGAGATACGGACACCGGTACTGGCACAGACACCGGCAACGGCACGAACACATCGGCACAGACACTGGCACGGACACACCGGCACGGGCACACCGGACAACAGTGATGGCACAGACACCGGCACGGACACACGGGCACGGACACACCGGCATGGACACCGGCATGCACACACGGCAAGGACACCGGCACAACGGCACGGACACCGGCACAACAGCACGGACACACCGGCACAGACACTGACACACAGGCACAGACACGGACACACCGGCACAGACACACAGGCACGGACACGGACACACCGGCACAGACACACAGACACGGACACGGACACCGGCACAACAGCACGGACACACCGGCACAGACACGGACACACCGGCACAGACACACAGGCACGGACACGGACACACCGGCACAGACACACAGGCACGGACACGGACACACCGGCACAGACACACAGGCACGGACACACCGGCACAACAGCACGGACACTGACACTCAGGCACAGATACGGACACACCGGCACAGACACACAGGCACGGACACGGACACACCGGCACAGACACACAGGCACGGACACGGACACACCGGCACAGACACACAGGCACGGACACGGACACACCGGCACAGACACGGACACGGACACCGGCACAACAGCACGGACACACCGGCACAGACACGGACACACCGGCACAGACACACAGGCACGGACACGGACACACCGGCACAGACACACAGGCACGGACACGGACACACCGGCACAGACACACAGGCACGGACACGGACACACCGGCACAGAGACACAGGCACGGACACACCGGCACAACAGCACGGACACTGACACTCAGGCACGGACACGGACACACCGGCACAGACACACAGGCACAGACACGGACACACCGGCACAGACACACAGGCACGGACACACCGGCACAGACACACAGGCACGGACACACCGGCACAACAGCACGGACACTGACACTCAGGCACAGATATGGACACACCAGCACAGACACACCGGCACGGACACCGCACGGGCACACCGGCACGGACACCGCACGGGCACACCGGCACGGAGACACGTACAACGGTACTGGCACAGACACCGGCAACAGCACGAACACACCGGCATGGGCACACCAGACAACGGTACTGGCACAGACACCGGCAACGGCACGGACACACCGGCACGGGCACAGATACACCGGCAAGGCACGGACACACCGACACAGACACACAGGCACGGACACAGACACACCGGCACAGCACGAACACACCGGCACGGGCACACCAGACAACAGTGCTGGCACAGACACCGGCAACGGCACGGACACACCGACACAGACACACAGGCACGGACACAGACACACCGGCACAGCACGAACACACCGGCACGGGCACACCAGACAACAGTGCTGGCACAGACACCGGCAACGGCACGGACACACGGACACGGACACACCGGCATGGACACCGGCACGCACACACGGCAAGGACTCCGGCACAACGGCACGGACACCGGCACAACGGCACGGACACACTGGCACAGACACTGACACACAGGCACAGACACACAGGCACGGACACACCGGCACAGACACTGACACACAGGCACAGACACGGACACACAGGCACAGACACAGACACACAGACACTGACACACAGGCACAGACACGGACACACAGGCACAGACACGGACACACAGGCACAGACACACCGGCACAGACACACAGACACTGACACACAGGCACAGACACGGACACACAGGCACAGACACGGACACACCGGCACAGACACACAGACACTGACACACAGACACTGACACACAGGCACAGACACGGACACACAGGCACAGACACGGACACACAGACACTGACACACAGGCACAGACACGGACACACCGGCACAGACACACAGACACTGACACACAGACACGGACACACCGGCACAGACACACAGGCACAGACACGGACACACCGGCACAGACACACAGACACTGACACACAGGCACAGACACGGACACACAGGCACAGACACGGACACACCGGCACAGACACACAGGCACGGACACGGACACACCGGCACAGACACACAGGCACGGACACGGACACACCGGCACAGACACACAGACACTGACACACAGGCACAGACACGGACACACCGGCACAGACACACAGACACGGACACACCGGCACAGACACACAGACACTGACACACAGGCACAGACACGGACACACAGGCACAGACACAGACACACAGACACTGACACACAGGCACAGACACGGACACACAGGCACAGACACGGACACACAGGCACAGACACACCGGCACAGACACACAGACACTGACACACAGGCACAGACACGGACACACAGGCACAGACACGGACACACCGGCACAGACACACAGACACTGACACACAGGCACAGACACGGACACACCGGCACAGACACACAGACACTGACACACAGGCACAGACACGGACACACAGGCACAGACACGGACACACAGACACTGACACACAGGCACAGACACGGACACACCGGCACAGACACACAGACACTGACACACAGACACGGACACACCGGTACAGACACACAGACACTGACACACAGACACGGACACACCGGCACAGACACACAGGCACAGACACGGACACACCGGCACAGACACACAGACACTGACACACAGGCACAGACACGGACACACAGGCACAGACACACAGACACTGACACACAGGCACAGACACGGACACACAGGCACAGACACGGACACACCGGCACAGACACACAGGCACGGACACGGACACACCGGCACAGACACACAGGCACGGACACGGACACACCGGCACAGACACACAGGCACAGACACGGACACACCGGCACAGACACACAGGCACAGACACGGACACACCGGCACAGACGCACAGGCACGGACACGGACACACCGGCACAGACACACAGACACTGACACACAGGCACAGACACGGACACACCGGCACAGACACACAGGCACAGACACGGACACACCGGCACAGACACACAGACACGGACACACAGGCACAGACACACAGGCACAGACACGGACACACCGGCACAGACACACAGACACTGACACACAGGCACAGACACGGACACACAGGCACAGACACGGACACACCGGCACAGACACACAGGCACAGACACGGACACACCGGCACAGACACACAGGCACAGACACGGACACACCGGCACAGACACACAGACACGGACACGGACACACCGGCACAACAGCACGAACACACCGGCACAGACACTGACACACAGGCACAGACACACAGGCACGGACACGGACACACAGGCACGGACACGGACACACCGGCACAGACACTGACACACAGGCACAGACACACAGGCACGGACACGGACACACAGGCACAGACACACAGGCACGGACACGGACACACCGGCACAACAGCACGAACACACCGGCATCAGAGTTCCTCTGAACCCCTCCACCTGCCTAGATCTGCTATGGGATTTAGCATATGTATTTCTATTAGGGATGGTAAGATTCACCGATTCGCATCAGTGCATCGGCATAAAAGCTAACGATGCGATGCATCGATTTAAATAATGTGCATCGGATACAAGTTGGCATGTGTATCGCGATGCATCGTTTCTAACATCTGCATCGGTAAAAAAACGATTTATTCATATATAATTATTAGTAGATGCTCTATACTTTTACTATTTAGAAAGTGACCAATCATTTGTGACCAATATTTTATTATGTAACTGCTGCGTTCACTCCGAACGCAGATAGAGCGTCTGTAGCGAGTGATTTCCATGTTAAGTCATTGTAAAGACGCGTTGACGCGGGTCTGGAGGTCCTGCGGCGCGAGACGCGTTTAGCGCGGTGCGATGGACACGATTTCGCCTCATTTGCGCGTCCAGTTCGACTAGATTGATTTCTCCTTTCTGAACTGTTGCTCAAGCGCGTTCTCTCATCACCACTGCTGCAGCTGCTACATGAATATGACGCATCACATCACTACGGAGTGCGAGGCGTGTCCTGAGAGTCACCTTTAAACCTTAAAGTAGGACATTAAGTTAATCTGGTTTACAGAAGCCTGTGACTGCAAATAATAGTTTTTCATAGATGTATATTTTTGTTAAAACAGCACCTGCTTTTATTTAATCTTTTGGTTTTGTGAAGAAATATGAAAGAATATGCGTTAAAAGTCAGATGGCACTTAAGCTACTTTATGATTTGCTGTATATGTCTGAATAAAATAAATAAAAGTTAACTATCTATACCATATTGAATTGCATAGCATCATATTTTTCTCCATTGCATCGTATTACATTGAATCGCATCGCGTTGAAATGGATCGCACCGCATCGTAAGAGTAGTGAATCGTATTGCATCGCATCCGTAGCTGCTTATATGTATCTTTAATGTATCGTATCGTTGGCTATGCATCGAGATGCGTATCGCATCGGCCTCAGCTATGGAGATGCACATCCCTAATTTCTATTTATGCAGCAGCAGCATATCTTACAGCAGCGCGTCTGTGTATCTATTAGCAGTAGCAAGTCCATACTTGTAGCAGAAGCAGCAGAAGATCTGGTCCCCCAAGACCAAATACATTAACATTGGCATATTCAATAACACGTTAAAAATATTCAGAGAGTTATCATGACTGAAATTAGATACAAATGAAAATCTTTGTCAATTTTGGCACACTTCAAGTTTAGTTCTTTGAGCTAACATATGTCCACTGTAATAAAAAGCCTACACTTACTCGTTTAGTGTCTGTTTCCTCCGGCAGAGACATATCATGATCTTGGTTGTACGAGGGGATCGTTGGGCTTTCGGACTGGACCAGAGCGGACCTCTCGTTGTAAGAGTCCTCTTCACTGTCCGAGGAATTCATGAAGAGAATGTGACCGAAGCCAAATGCCCAGAGCTGAAAGATGCATCACGCCAGATTAATACAACTGACAGCCCTCAATAACCATAAAAACCATAGTAATACCATAGTTTGTTGTTTTCTTGTGGAACTCAGAATTATGGTAATACCATACTGTATTTAAGCATCATGGTATATGAATAAGATATTATACAAGATTCAAGATTTTTTATTTGTCACATAGCATACACAGTTATAAACATGAAAATTATTGTACTTTTCATTATATAACGCACAATATTTCAGTAACAATATCAGTATAGGCCAATAATAGCATTTCTTTAAAATGTTATTATTAGATGTATCTGCCTAAATTAATAGCAAGCGGATACTATCAGGGCTTATTTAAAACATATATATATTTATATATATATATATATATATTACAATATTTTCTGTGGCCAAAATAGACACTAAACTGCTTTGAGATGTGATTTTTAGTGATGCACACATAATAATTTTAATGTAATGGCGATGACCAATAATCCGGGCTGATATTATACATTTATAATTAAAAAAAGACTAAATTTTCCTTTAAAAATCATATATAAAACAAGTCAATTGTAAGTCAGTAACAGATATGGTGCTGATATATCATGTTTCCCTAGTGGCGTTGGCTGCTTTATAGATGAAATATTAAAGATTGGAGCTTCAGTGTGAACAATTTTATACAACAGGCAGAGGAATATAGATTTAGAATATCCATCTGTATCGGCTACATTTCTATATCGTTGCAATTATTATTATTGTTTGTGATATAAAATTCCCATCATGAAAGTATCACAATACTTTTGTAAGTGGATTGTGCCTTTAAAACACCGAAACCATGGATCTTTAAAAATAGGAAGTTTATCTCTGAGACAAATATATGCGTTTCCCCCAGTTTTAATCACTTCTACAGCCCTATTCTTATTCGTTATTATACTGTCATGTTTCAATAATGTTCCGCAGATTAAAGCATTCATCATGATCCATGATTTCCCAACGTCTCCTAATGTGTCTGGAAACCCAGTTCCTCCACGTATCTAAAGAAAAATAACATCTGCCGTATCGTACAGGTGAGAAGAATGAAATACCTTTAATGTGACGGTATTTATTTACATGAAGGATGATCCAGCAATGTTATTTGTAGAAGGATATTCCGTCAAAACATCGCGAATGAGGAAGTGATGCCAATCAGCTGATCCTCGTGACGTCACGTCACCTGACCACATTCGTGTCACCCAAAGCATAGCTCTCTCTATATGGCTCTGGTGTCAACAAGTCAAATTTTATTTTATGAGTGTGGTCGGAATTTTAGTTGTCTCAATATTTGACCCAACTAATTATTCATAGTCAGTCCATGAAATATATTACATGTGTCAATACTAATAAGAACAAGACAAGAACAACCTAGGCTACAAGGTAGGTTACGTCATAAACTTAATCTAATATTCTGCATGGAAAATTATATTCAGAAACAAACATGCGCTAATTTCCAACATAAATATCATCTGTTTTTGAATAAATGAAATGACACTTAATCAATATATATTCAATAAAGTTTGCTGAAACTCTTTTTGAAACTCGTTTGTGTGTGTGTGTGTGTGTGTGTGCGTGCGTGCGTGCGTGCGTGCGTGTGTGTGTGTGTGTGTGTGTACAGTGCTTATTATTATTATTATTGCAGTAGGCTAATGGTAGTAGTATTTTGCCATTTATCATTCTGTGGTCTGTGACATAAAATATGTATTTACTTGTAATATGTTTTACTCAATTTTAAATGGTCATTGAGAAGAGTCTGGTTACAAAAAAAAATGCATTTCTAACAAAGAGGTATTATATAAATGCTACCTCTGATATATCACTGACTGAGACACACAGTTTATGTGACCAAGGACGAAATTAAGGAACAATCTGCATAATTTGTCATCTATTAAAGGAGTCATAATGTGCAATTTTCACTTTTCCATGAGAATCAATGTATGTTATGATTGACTAACGATTATACATTTGCCGGGATGCCGATATTCAAAAGTGAAGCGTTTGTTTACCCCAGGGTTCTTAAACTAGCCAACGTGCACGCGCACTCAAGTACGAGATTTCAATTTCTCCCCCGACATGACGTCAAGACGGGGCCGGATATACCATATATGGACACCGCAGAGGAGGCCCGCCCTGCCCCTCTCCCCATCATATTCAGTCAAGAAAGATGCAAGAACGTAGTGCACACGTGAGTTGCTCTGTGGTTGACTGTCATAATCCACATTCTAATGTTTTTTCTTTACCCAAAACTGACCAAACTACAAGGGACAAGAGGATGAAATTTATTTTTAATGACGCTGTTCCAACAACCATCTCAACTTGCTCAACGTTAGGTGGGTGATTCTCTGAGATGGGTGCCTTTTGGGTCATACCTTTTTTTTTTTTTATACCTCAAATAGTTGTATTTCTGATCATTTCATGTGATAGTGGATTAGTCAAACCTTTAAGAAAATGCATTTTCCCACCTCAGGCATGAAATTCTAATCGATATTGAGTGTTTTTTCTTACTGAAAGTTGTTTTGAAGTTCAACCCCGTCACAGACCACTTGGACCCTGTTTAAATATGGTTTTAATAGATTTTCAAGTAAATTCTTGTAGAAGCTTTTCAATGAGATGTCCCTTGTTTGATATCATTTATTGCCTGTAGAATTTTATTTTTAAATACTCACCATTTGAATACCAAATCAGCTCATGAAAACTGTATCTAACATTGGTCTTCATATCTTATCACAAAATATGCATTAACATTAGGATTTAATCAGGCTTTCGTATTTTTTCCGACTGTCCGGTAAATTCTACACACAGCAAAACAAACATTGACCTAATTTGTCTTCTTATCACGAAAATATTAATAAAAACTATCAAATAACAGGGTTGAACTCAGCATAACGGGGTTGAAAATGATAACAGGGTTGAAGTGATCATCATTATTTCAATATAGAATGGATTTATTTATTATATATTACGACTTATTCTTTCTTTTTCCCTGCCTCTGTGTCCCTTTTCCACCTTTCACGCTCTCTCCTGAGATATTTTTCCCTTCTCTCTGCGTCTGCATCCCTTCTTGCTCTGTACTGTCTTTGCCTCTCTGCTGCTGTTTTTGCCATTGCGATGTCTGAAAATAAAACGGCATAATCGATTATTTCTGACAGTTCACATCACAATACAACAAGTCTACAATTGAGTAATCTACTAAGAAGTGTCAAACATTCAACCCTGTCACAACGATTCAACCCTGTTATACTAAAAATGTGACGGGGTTGAATGTGACGGGGTTGAAGTTTTTGGCTAATAGTAACCATAACTCCTTACTAAGCAAAGACAGTTGCACCACATGGCATTTAGGACATCATAAAATTGTAATGTTTTGCAAAACTATTATTTAATTCTTCTCAAACCGTTGTTTACTATCATTTAGTCATACAACAGAGTTGAAATGTTGAGCCTGACAATCTTAATCTGACAGCGAAAAACATGAAATATAGGTAAGAAAAGATACTGACACTTGCCTTTCTTTGCAGCATGTTCTTTAAGAGACTTGTGTGATGTCACTTCCTGGATGAGATGCCACAGGGATTGATCCATTATTTTTATAGGGGGGTAAATAGTATGGCGTGACGGGGTTGAAAACAAACTGGAGGACGTGTATAAATATTGTAATTTCATATATAATTAATTATTTTTTTTATATATATGTATATTTTAGTTAAAGTAGACCAACATATGATTATATTAGCAGCAACATTTTGGTATTAATTGTACTTTTTATTTGTTTAATATGCAACGAAAATGTAATGATGGTTAGTGAGGACATGCAAACTTGCTTGTTGTCTACTACTTAGGCAACCTTATCTTTAAATTAAATATTTTTTTTAAAGAAATTGTGTTGCATTATAATGCAAAGGCACCTGGTTCTATTAATTGACAGCATTAAAATGCATTTTGTGATTTCCTTCAATTGAAAATCTTTGTAGCAAGTTTGGGGGACTTGAAGGGCACCCAATTCAGAGAATCACCCAGGTGTCTGCGCTAAACATTTCACAAAAGAATCTTTTACAAATTTGGGGCAATATCAGGCGAAGTTGGCATCGAAGCTACGTTTGGAAAAAGGTGCCATTCCAACAATCAGGGACTTGCCTGAATTTGAAACGGTAAGACTGTTTTTATTACTATATTTTGTGTAACAAACAGCAGCTAACTACTAATGCGGTTAATGTATGTGATAAGGATAGATACATTTAAAAAACAGTCAAGAATTAATAAACATAAAGAAAAACATAACGTTACATGTCTGCAGATGAAAATGATTAAATATCTAAAAAACCACAACGTCAAAAAAGGCAAAAACAACACATTATAGCAAACGTTAATCTCTATAACCACTGTAAGCTGAAAATAAAGTAGACTACATCTCCGTTAATGTAATCTACATTAAATTAAAGCTAAACTTATGTGGGAGAAAATAGCAAAAAAAACGTTTTAGCTCGTTACTGATGTTAATGTATGTCTCAGTCAAAAAAATTGTCTTTACCATTCAGAGACATGTTGATGTAGACGTCCTTCAATTGACTGTTGTTCCTCTTCCGTTTCCAGCTCTGGTTCAGAGTCTGGCTCAAACATATACGGTTGAATCCCGTAGGTCGCGGCCAGGTCGGGTTCATTAACAACTTGCGCCATGATCTCTTTTTGGAATGATATGCTGAAGTTACCTGCGGTGTCAAGCCCCCTCCTTCCTACCACCAGTCAACGCGCCCCTCATTTGCATTATTAAAATGACCGTCCACGACAGCCAAAACCTCGCATCAGATCTCGCGAGACAATAATGCATTCAGAAATAAGGGTCAAACGAGCTCTGTGTTTATTTTTTTCCAATTTTTCTTTTTTAGAAGGGCATGAAATGACTATAATAGAGCGTGGGTATCAAAGTTAATACTACATTATGACTCCTTTAACCATCCTTTAGCAAAAACATTATTGCAACAATATTGAGATCTCTCTTTAGACCAGTGGTCTCAAACTCGCGGCCCGCGGGGTGATATTTTGTGGCCCCCTACTTGACATTAAATTTTAATGTTAGTGCGGCCCGTCGTTGCGTGTGCCGCGTTTTATTTTTTATTTTTTATCCCTTATGAGCTACCATAGATAGTCTCGTGACAGCTTACGGTGGGTTTGTTGTCAATAGTTGTCATAGACAACCGCGAAGTACAAACATACTGCGCCTGGAAAAAATGAGCGCGTCGCTTCAATTATGAGCGCGCTTACCGCGCGCCTACATTTGAAATAACGAACTTGAGCGCGCAAAATATGTGAGCGCGATATGTGAACGGCCCCTTGTCGAGCTACCACCAATAGGCCTATTTCACAAAAATGGCCGCCGAGACCGGAAGTAGGGTAAACTCTTTTCCGGTGAAAGCGCTAGCAGTTACAGTCGGAGGACAAATGCGGAGACTAAAAGTGGTTGCTTAAAGTCCCCATGAATTCAAAATTGACCATACTTACTTTGTTTGCCTAAATTGATCGTTTTGTGGTGAACAATTCATCCATGCAAGTCAATCCACACAAAAAAAATTTTTGGCTTCGTAATCTTTAATCAAAATCTGAAATTTCCCCTCCCCTCTGCATTGGAGGACCTTCCCTGATGACGTAGGTTTCACGGTTTGGGCGTCTTCTTAACATCCGTAATCACGCCCCTCCAACTGACAGTTGACAGTCTGAATGAAAACACCTACTTTTCTAGATCCAATCAGGTGCTAGTTGGGGAAAAAGCCACGCCCACCATTTTGCCTCATTTAGTATTCCGTTTCTCTCGGAAATACGTCACAACACTGGAGAAAAGTCGTTTGCAACTTCCGGTTCACGGGGACTTTAACTTTTTATGTTTCAACCCAAAGAAGAAACAACCCTATTGATCACTTCACAGCTTTTCGTGTTTTGCGGGTTTTCATGGAACAACCGGGGAGAAGTTAAATCACGCCAGACGCGTGTGAAGGAGGAAGCAGATGTTGAAATGGAGTGTTGATGCCGGTTCGGGACTGATGCCCTGACAAAACATGTATTGCACTTGATTGTTACCCGATTTGCACGTCATGCACTTTTATTTATTATTATTACCTGTTGGCAAATTAAAATTGTTTGTAGAAGTTGTTTTCTGTAACTTTCTTTCCTTTTTACCTGGGTGCGCTTTGCTAGGCCTGCTGTTTACTTGTGCAAGCAAGGGCAGCTGGGACATTTATTAAACGTATAAAATACTTTCCAAACCGTTACATATAGTCTTATAAATTCAGACGTTTGTGATTTAAAAAAATAAACATATTGGAATAATTTTTAAAGTTGTTTGAACACGGAGCAGTTTTTCCCGTGAGTGGGACTGGAAAACCCGAAGTGGATCAGGAGCGGAGTGATAATAGAACGCTTCTGTGCAGAGAGGAACGGGCTTTTGCTCCAGTCCAGGCTTTGATCACATCTCCCTAAGCGGGTGAACACCTCGTCCTTCCGACCCATTCGAACTAAAATTAAGACATTTATTACACTATTTGAGAAATATAAGCATATTTACGGCCTTAAAATAATGAAAAGGGTAATTTAAGAAACAGGGGAAACCTGATATTAACAGAAGTCCGTCGTAGCGACGGATAACTTTAATCCCTGTATATATTTGTATTACTGAATATAAAATTACATTATATATTTGTAAATATATTCTCACATTTTTAAATATATGAAAATGACTTGTTTCTATGCAAAAAGTGACTTGAATGACATGTTTCATTCAATATATTGTAATATATTAACACCATATATTATTCTGTATGTTTTCAAATATACTGTTAAACCATTTCATATATTGATCATTCATATAGGGAATATTTTCTTTTCATAAGGGGACCCCAGACAGTTAAATATTATTTTGGAACATGATTTTTTTTAACATGTAATATCAATCAGTTCATTCATGTTTTTAATCTAACTATTTTTTTATTTGCCTTAATTTCATTATTAGACATACTAGCAACGTTAGGTCAAATTCACTGTAAAGATGTACAATTCTTAGTTTCATTCATGGTAACATGAAAAAGGAGCCATAATCTAGTAGTGGAAGATTGCTGCAATCTCCTGGACTAACACTTAATAACATGATTTTTTTTAACAAAAGCCACTAGATTTCACTCATAGCCTACAATCAGACATCATTTCAATTTATTTATTTATTTATTGTTTTTCGATATATTAACGTTAAATGTGAGCTTAGTCATCAAGTGTCATGCCAAAAATGAATGGAACTTTTTTATGTAAGCACTAACGTTAAGTAAACGTCAAGAATTTGTCCAATTTCGATCTTTTCACAACTCCCTGAAAACTATCAACAAAACGGACAACATTTGATATTCTCACTTTTGTCAGATAACGTTATATGAATGACTGGGAGAGAAAACAAGCTGTTCAAAGTCCATTTTGAAAATGAATGGCGATTCGGGCGGGCGGCGCGACCAGAAGTATTTTTGCCGTCTGTGTCTGGCGTGATTTAACCTCTCCCCAGTTGTTCCATGAAAACCCGTAAGACACGGAAAGCTGTGAAGTGATAAATAGGGTTGTTTCTTCTTTGGGTTGACATAAACACCATTAAAAGGTAAGCAACAGGACTAAACCGCTTATAGTTTCCGCATTTGTCCTCCGACTGTAACTGCTAGCGCCGCTTTCACCGGAAAAGAGTTTACCCTACTTCCGGTCTCGGGGGCCATCTTGTGAAATAGGCCTATCAGACCACAAGCTACTGGTAGCTCGCGAGCGACGTGTTGGAGAGAGACCCTGCTCTAAAACAATGTGAGAAAAATCACTTTGAGCTTGTAATATGTGTCCAACAGGTTGATAAGAAGGTTTGCTTTGATTTGTGCAGTCAGTAATTTGAGACACTATACATGTGTAGAAAGAATTCAATAAGACGGGCAGACATGACTGCAAATATTTGTATTTCAAAAGCAATAAAAAAAATTCTAAGTATAATAAAAGGAAATGTGCCTTCCAAAAAAAACATTCAATATCATTAATGTGTTGTATAAAGAAAATAAAAAGGACATAAGCAAATATAAATATCACAAATATGTGTTGTAGACAAAGAAAGTTTGTAAAATGAACTTCAACTGTCAGAAGGACAGCTCATGAAGAACCAATCATGTACAGAAAGGAATGTTCAAATTCAGAGGAACAGTTCAGAAGAAACGTTAATAATAAATATTGAGAAGATTGGATCAGTGCTCCTTTTTTGGAATACTTGAATACATTTTTTTGTGGAATACTTGATGCGGCCCAGCCTGACCCCGACTCTACCTCCAGCGGCCCCCAGTTAAGTTGAGTTTGAGACCCCTGCTTTAGACCATTTAAACTACATATGACTGCAAATGAAGGTCTCTCTAACAAAGGGGTACTGTCACTGCGTGGTGGTACCCTTTAAAAAAGTACATATATTTACTATATTTACCCCTAAAAGATGCACATTAGTACCTTAAGGCCTGGTTTCATAGACAGGGCTTAGATTAAGCCAGGATGGTTTTATCAGGACATTTAGGTAGCTTTTATAAACATGTCTTAGAAAAAAAAAACATTACTGGTGTGCAAAAAAAATGCACAAAAAAACAAAACAATGGCACTGACATATTTTAAGATTCATGCTTCCAGTTAAAACAGCTCAAACATGCATTTTAATCTGAGACTAGCTTAAGCCTTGTCTGTGAAACTGGGGGTAAGAGGACTAAATTGTACATGTTTTGAAAGTGTACGGTTACTGCCGCAGTGACAGCTTTTGTACCTTTTTTCTGAGAGTGTACCAATGGATTTCATTCGTTCTTGACAAACATTGACAAACAGCAGCTCACAGGATCCCAGTTTCTCAGTGTTGTCATGGGATTCTTTCTTCGTGTGACTGGAGTCACTCATTGATTCCAGATGTTTATCTGCTCTTGTACATTTCAGGCACATACTGTACAGAGCCAATAAAATGTGGTGGGAGGAACCCAAGAGTTTTACATGAGGGTGGTTTCAAACCCATGAGAAGAGCACACTGTGCACTGGGGAACATAACAGAAGAAGCAATGATTTGCCAGGAAAACACTCTTCACTATTGCAGCTGGGGTTTTGTAGTCGGTGGATTGCTTTACCTCCTGCGGCAATTGACCACGCACACGCCGTACGGACGTTATGTGGACACAAAATCCCCAGGGGTGATGGTCCCAGCCAGGGTGGGCTGGTTTATTCAGGAACTTCCATCATTCTTTGTTCCTGTGCTCTTGTTTTTGACAACAGAAAGCTTGCCAGGGATAGGAAGACATTTACTGCTCTGGACCTTTTGCTTGCACTACTTTCAAAGGTAACAACTCACATTTCACATATTAGATTAGCAATATCTTAACAAGCATTGCATTTTCATACTGACAAGGAACTTGAGTGTTCTAGAGAAGCACAGTTGAGTTTTGCCAGTAAACAATCTAGACATAGGTTCAGTTAAACGTGACTGTATGCATGCTTGTTGCCGTATCAGATAATCTATACACTGTAAAAAAAACTTAACTCATTATTTTGTGTTATCTTTTTGCATGGGTTTTTTTTTTAGTTTAACTAACTTATTTCGATAAGTTGAGGACACGAAAACTTAAAATTTCTTGTTGTCTGGACAATCTAGTTATCTCTACTCAAAAAAAATAAGTTGAAATAACTAAATTGCTAAAATATTTTTTACAGTGTAGTTTTGATTTTTGTATTGATTTGAGTTTTGGAATAGGAAAGTGAGTGGTGCATGAAGTATAATCACTATCAGAGTCTTTACGTCCATAACAGGTTGTAAAATGCACTGAAATAATATATTATATATATATTATAATTAGGGGACACCTGCCACCTAAATTGTTAAGAAGTTGGGTTTATAAAAGTCAAGCATTCACAAAGACTGCATTCACACTTGAGTTAAGATTGTCCATCTCCAGCAGTGACTATAATTCATATATCTTGCTCTAGTCAGTATATAATTTGATCATAATTTGATTTAAACCGGCATACCAACTCAATAAAATGGGGCAAATGAAAAAAAAATGAAGTCATGATAGCCTGCACAAATGTACTTTGCACTTCAAACTAAGTCCAAACTCTCGAACATACTACTTTAGCATAGTAAAGTACAGTTACTCAAGTTCATTAAACCCGGTGATGTAAGTTTCTATGTCTTTTTGGTGTACGGGCAGAAGTTGTTTCTTTTTCACTTAAGGTTCAGCTCAGCTCAGTGGAATGAACAGGAAGGAAATATGTTTTGTAACAGCACCCGTCAACAGTCAACCGGCTTCTTCTCATAACAGAGCAACAATGCACATCAACGAAGGCAAATATCACGTTCACATCTTTTTGTTACTTGTGAAGCAATTGAACCACTGCTGCTTTTACATGAAGATGGACGTAATTTAAAATTCAAATGCATATCCTCATTGACTTAACCAGCTGGAAATATAATTTTTTTAATCCTGATTTGAGCGGAAGAAGCAACATTTAAGATAGGCTACCATTGTTGTCATATTTTATTGCTCAACCGCCAGTATGTTACTGAAACATAATCCAGACACAGTTTAAGTTTAACAGGTTTGCACTTGCATTTAATAAAACAGGAATGGACTTGCATTCAGTTAATCAGGACTGTACTCTCAGGCTTACTGCGCACATATCTGTTTTTAGCCAGATTTCTGCTGAGGTCTTATTTACAGAAAATGCCAAATCAGAGATTTCAAATCAAATCTCTAAACTTATGATTTTTCTGTATACATATCCTGTAAGTCTGTGCTGATACAGCATGATACGGTCACATATCCCAGCTGAAAGAAACATCCTTCCAGGATGAAAGAAAATCACTTTTGTGGCGACTGTTTGCTCACACTCTTTGCTGTTCTGCAGGACCTTTGTGTTTTCCTTACTGACCAAAGGCAGGCCGTCTCCTCTCCACATTGTGTTGAGTGCGGTCATCTTCTGCTCTGTGAATGGCTTTCTGCAGGGTCACTACATGCTCCACTGCACTCAGTACCACACCGAATGGCACAGAGACACACGCTTCATAACTGGTACATGGTGCTAATAATAGATCCTTAACTGTACTAATGTTTCAATTAGTCTTTTAATACAAAGCATTTATTGTGTACATGCATGTTTTTTACAGTGTGCTTGTATTTAAAAAAATATATATGTGTGTAATCATGTCTTATAATTACACTGTTGACCCTTCCTTTAACCCCAGCTCAAACCCAAACCTCCCAACCGAACCTGTCACCCACCTCAATCTTTCTGATCAACTACGTGAATCAATTATTGCTGCTGTTTCATTGGTTATAATACATCATAAAAACACTCAATTGAAATGAATGTTCCTTCCAGGTGTGTTGATGTTTTTCTCTGGAATGGCCATCAACATCCACAGCGACTATATTTTACGAAACCTGAGGAAACCAGGAGAGCTCAGCTATAAAATCCCTAGAGGTCAGTATCTGATTTATGAATAATTATGTGGGGAAAAGTACAAAAAAAAAAGAAGGAAAAAAAATATTTATTAAAAGTAATTTAAACTTAATTGCATGAGTTATATATAATATTATAATATTTATAATTATAATTTTATAATATTATATATATATATATATATATACTGTACATATATATTATATAAAATAATAAATAATAGAACATAATTATAAAATAATTATATAATATATATATATATAAATTGTTATAAATCAAAATTATATTATAAAATAAATATAGTAATGTATTGTATATATTATTATTATTTTATATATATATTATATAATAAAAAGTGATATATAGGCTACTGTATATATATATTTTTTTTTTTATAAATTAATCAATTATATTTCTTATAAAATAAATATACAGTCATGTATTATGTATATTATTGTGTTATATATATAAAATAATAGAATAGAAATATAATTATAAAATAATGTCTACTATATCTATTATATAGTATAAAATTATATAAATACAAATATAATAAAAATGTGTGCATGTATTATATTGTATATGTGTGTATTGGGAGGTATAAATACATTACTATACATATAATATTATAATATGTAATTATAATAAATATAATGGTAACACTATTTTAATGTGCCTTTTTACACATAACATGTATTTACTATAGTAAAAATTATAAATGAGGCATAATTACATGCAAAACTAACCCTAACCCTATAGTAAGTACATGTACATTAATATTACTCAGTACTTAAATGTATAATTCCACTATAACATGGACACCTTAAAATAAAGTGTGACCAATTTACAGCATAAAGACAATTCATATTTTTTTGTTTATGGTCTAAAATAAATCACACAAATATATATATATATACTCTTAAAAAGGTTTTGTGAGATTTATCTGAGCGGGACTGAACCTCAATTGTACACTGAATATTAGCATTGTGTTATCTTTAGGAGGAATGTTTGAGTTGGTCTCCGGCGCAAACTTCTTCGGGGAGATCGTTGAATGGTGTGGTTACGCTGTGGCCAGCTGGTCCTTTCCTGCGTTCTCCTTCGCTCTGTTCACCGTCTGCTCCATCGGGCCACGAGCCTACCATCATCACAGGTGCTCCGCCAACCCCAAAACTCTTTCAAAACATAGATATCTATGATATATATCATATCTGCAGGCTCTTCCAAAATGCTGCCTTCTAAAGATATCTACTTTTGATTATACTATTTATTTATAAACAAACATAATTCATTCAAAACCAAAAAGTATTGATAAAAAGTTTCATTTAAGTATTTATACTTATTGGTATACATGACATTAGCTTAAACAACATTAAAATGGTGACTGACTTCTTAAGTCAATCCAGAATCCAGCACACAAAGTTACATTAATGGATTATAATAAAGGGTTTATGTCTTTATCTTATGGTAACCTGAAAGTAAATGCCTTCTTGTCTTCTTCACAGGTATTACTTGGAGAAATTTAAAGATTACCCCAAATCAAGAAAGGCTGTGATCCCTTTTCTGCTGTAACAGTCAGCGGCCATAAACATTTTATAAAGTGGAAAAACGACAAAGTTCTCATGAAAACAAGTTTAAGCCATGATCTAGATAAGAACCTCATGTCCTGCTCACACACACAAACATCACCCAAGGGGACATTTCTGAAGGTTTGTATTTATTATTTTTAAATACACCATTAAAAACCTATGTTTATATCTGTACACAGTGGAGAATGGTCATTTATATACATATTCCCATTTGAGCATGGACCTGTCATAAAGCTATTCATCAGTCATAAATGATTATGACATCGGTCATGCGTCATTGGTGCTCGAACATGAATCGCAAACCGAGCAAAGCTGCCGTTCAAAGTCCACTGAACTGAAGCATTTCACTGAATGCGGTCGATACGCACCACTATTGTTTTCCCCTTAGTAAATGCTTCATGGCGGTAGATTAGAATTAAAATTGAATTACTTTCAAATGATTTCCATATATGTGTGGATCAGAAACAAACAGAGTGTGTAATTTTAATTTGTCACCAGACAGACAACAACGCACTGTGATAAACCACACACATAATCACTCAAATGCATATAGAATTTGCCGTCACTCCTCTGAAGCCGTCTTGCTTTTGATCTGCCGCTCTGTGCGCACCGAACTCTTCATCGCCTTCTGCAGGAGCCATGTGCTAAAATGGATGCCAGCAAATGCACCGCCGGCAACCCAAAACCAGTTCTTCCTGAGCCAGCTCTGATTTCTCATCTTCTCTGTCCTCAAGGGGAGGTGCAGCTCAGGACCTGCGAATGCAAGGGAGAGAGTTAGGAAAGAAAAAGCGAATCAATAGAGGTGTTGTTATCTGAGATGTGGTGGATCGGGAGATCCATGGAGCAAAATCTCCGAGGAACGTTTCCAGCGCCTTGTTGAATCTGTGCCACGCAGAATTAAGGCAGTTCTGAAGGCAAAAGTGGGTGCAATTGGTACTAGCAAGGTGTACCTAATAAAAAAATGTGCCCAGTAGTAAAGGAGAAGTGCCATCATAAAAACCGCACACTCTACACTTTGACCAAAACTGTCGGTAACGCTTTAGATTACAGCCCGGAAAGTACTGGGTAATTAAAGCAATTTTACAGCGAAACCTTTGGTAATTATAGTGTACCTATAACGTACTTACAATATAAGTATAAGGGAACAATATTTTAAGTTTGGGGAATAAAGGGGTAACAACCAGGATAATTAAAAAAATATTAATATTGTGAGTATTATAGAACTAAGGGCTTCTTCTTATTCTACTATTATGATATAACAATCTTACATTTGTGATCAATTTAGCAAGAACATACACTGCGTAGTGCGTACCTTTTTGAAATAATGGTGAACCAGTACATACTGTATAGGCTTTATAAATAGATATAATAGATATGTACCCTGTAATTTTTTAAATGTAATCTTTTTAACAAAAGTGCACTGAAAACGAAAACTAGTGCAACTTTTGCTTAAATAATGGGGAAAGATATTATTGTTTCATGTAGTGGTGCTTGTTACCCTCTTGTTCCATGTAGTTACAGGGTAAGTACAATAAAAATGCATACACAATCTTTTATCACTGACTCAGAAACCTTTATTTAATATACAAGCACCACTTACCCTGTAACCACATGAAACAAGATATATTTCCTAGTATTTAAAAAAATTGCAATAGTCTTAGCTTTTCTTGCCTTGAAACATGTTGGCCCAAACTTAAACATCTGCACTTTTGCAATCAAAAAAATAAAAGTATAAATGCATAGATATGTACCCTGTCATTTTTTAAAAGCCTATACAGTATGTATTGCCTTGATACACAATTATTACAAAAAGGTACGCAGTGTATGTTCTCGCTAAATTGCTCCCAAATGTAAGATTGTTGTAGAATAAGTACCCCTTAGTTCTATAATACTTACAGTATAAATATTTTTTTAATTCTCCTGGTTGTTACCCCATTATTCCCCAAACTTTACATATTGTTCCATTATACTTACATGCAAGTACTTTATAGGTACACTATAATTACCGAAAGTTACTCTGTAAATTCCTCTTAATTACACAGTACTTTCCGGGATGTAATCTAAAGCTTTACCAAACTGTCATTATCAAGAAAACCCTGTTATCTTCACAGATAAGATTAAACACACACACATTTCATAAGAGGAAAGATCCGTGTGTGTGATCTCATATTCTATTGTAAACAACTAGAAATAGTGACATGGACATTGCGTACACTTATCTATGAGCCAGTTAAAATGAATTCTGGCATCATTTACTCGCTCATTTCTTTCCAAACCCCTTTGAATTTATTACTTGAATGGAAAACAAAGTCTTTGAAGAATATCTTTGCAGCACAATGACAGTTACAGCTCAAGGTTGAAGTGACAGAAACGCCTCACAGGGTGAGTAAATAATGACAGAACTTTTGTTTTGGGGTTGAACTATCAGTTAAGTAAAACCTTTCCCACCTCGAGCAGCAGCTGCAGTTACTCCTTGGCTTTGCTCTCTCTCCTTCTACTCTTCTCGGGCAGGGGAGGCAGGGGAGGCGGGGACGGGTCGACGTACGACACGATGCCCGGCTCGGGAATATATTCCTCCCTGCTCTTCTTCAGCAGTGGATTGGATTTGATCGAGTACCAACCCCAGTGAACCAAGCCGAGGCCAGAGCCCATAACAATCAGGACTTTATAGTTATCCCAAAAGCTCCGGAGCTTACTCATGTCTATAGATACCAAAATACATAAAAACACATGAATAAACTAATGCCAGACCCGTGGGAAGAGATGGTATAGGCAGTTGACATCATCACATTCACTGCAGTTAAAAAGTGACGGGTCTCTCCTCCTCTGTGTGAATTAATCCTCCTCTCATACACTTCAGACGCAGTAATATTGTATACCGGTCTAGTTTATTACTTTGACATGTTTAGGAGTGAATATGCTGGTTGATAAATTAAATATCTGTAGACGATGAAGTGTTAAATCAAATGTGTACATGATTATATAAATTTCTCACTCACCTTCAACTTTTTGCTTCACGTCGCCACCATTTTGGGTCCTGACGATGGAGGCTTAGGTAGCCGATAACTGTCCTGACTAAAAAAATATTAGTAGGAAAATACCCCGTTGAATGTAAATACTGTCTATGGGTAAATATGTTAATGCAACGCAAGCATTGAAATGTTGTTTTAATTATTACAGTAATGTAAAAATCTATCGATTAAAGTATTATTCATAGGAAGCATTTCCTTACTAAAGTTGCTTTTAGATCGCTCATTTGGGGGTTTGCACTATTATATGTAAAAAAAGCTACTTCAGGAGAATGATAAATTAATCAATTTTCTTAACAGGTGAGGTGACTCTATTATTATTGTAGCGACTGTTAATGGCTGTGCGGCTGTCAATCAGCTATGTGTAACCCCGGGCGCGCTGTTGGTTGGCGGCCTGGGGAGAGGGGGGCGGGTCCCCCTGGGGTTATGGGGGTGGAATTGAGGAAGTTCTCGGGTTATGAAGCTGTTCTGAAGCTGTGTTTGAATCAAGCAAGGGGGTAATCCATCGACCGGAAGTTTTCAAAACTGTCTTATAAAGGTTGAGAATGCCCAGGCTAAAAAACTGTATAATCGTTTAATAACACTTCAGATGAGCTGAGTCCCTCTTTTTTGGTTTGTTTATGTTATTATTTTGTTTTTGTTTATTTTTATTGTTTTGAGTTCTTTCAATCTGGTTTGTTCTCCCTTGTCATGTGAACAGTATAGAAAATGTCGTTTCAGATGATTTTCAGGAGGTGTGACTCTTAGTTTACAATACAATAAGGTTATATTGTACATTTTGAGGATGTCATATTTTTCTTCTTTGTCAGACGTTTTTATTGTTTATTGTGATAAGAAAAATTTCAAAAAAAAAAATTCAAAAAAAAAAAAAAATCCATCGACCGGAAGTTGAAGCCGGCCGGGTGCCGCCATGTTGTAGCAGAACTTCACTTGCGTTAGCATTTCCATTGACTCCCATTCATTTTTGCGTCACTTTGACAGCGAATAACTTTACATCTGAGGCGTTTAAAGACTCCATTTGTCCATTATTTATTTCTAAAGAAACACGACAATGTATAAAGGGCTCCATTACCTTCTATGTTACACTATGGCCCCGTAGAAACAGATTTAGTAAAAATAGGCTAACGATTGCTTCATAACCACTCGACTCTCTGTCGCGCTGTACAGAAATGACCGTACAGACAGGAGGAGAAGCTCGCAGGCAATCGGGGGGACGTCCCGTCAAGGGAGAAGCCCATAGATAATGAGTCCATAAAAGCAACGGAATACTTACTCCTGCTCATGTAACGGGTATTAATTATAACTTGTTTTAATTTTAAATTCACACAAAATCCAAATTTTTCTGTTAGATATATATGTAAGAAAAGAAAAGAATTAATTTATATATATATATCTATGAGGTTTGCGTTCGTCGCAGTTGTGACGTCATTGTCGCGTTGCGCGCGCTCTCGCTTCAGTCCGCGGGAGGTCTGAGCGGAGCGAGGTATGTAATGTGTGCACTCCTGTTCAAAAGAGTGTTATAAGTGAAAATAATCCCTAATAAAATGTGATTTGATTTCGTTAAAATGTTAAGGAGTATGTACAAGTATGTGATTTTTCCTTGTTAAGCTGTTTTTCCTGCATAAGTGAAAGTTTAACCGAGTGAATGCAGTATCACGCTGTTAGTATGTTAGTGTGAAAGTAGGCCTGTGAAGCGTGTCTGCTGATATCTTTTCTATGTTCAAATGTTTGACAGGAGAGGGCTGATTAAAAACACACTACATTGAATGCAACAAATAATTACTGCATTTTTCAACTCATGCAGGTATGGTTATAAATTGTTTTTGTGATTTCTTTGTGTTCAACCGTATTGGTTATATAAAATGCTGGAATATGGGTGATTTAAAGATGTATATTTTATGAGTTTGATGAGTGTCAATGTATGTTCAGAGATGTATATATATATATATATATATATATATATATATATTGTATATTGTTGATACATCTGATGTGATATTAATTATTACTATTTTCTTTTTATTCTTTATGACTGTAAATGAGATTGTACAATGTGAGCTCGCTTCAGTCCGCGGGAGGTCTGAGCGGAGCGAGGAGAGGGCTGATTAAAAACACACTACATTGAATGCAACAAATAATTACTGC